GATCAAATCTTGGCAGAGAAAAATATTTCAAAGCAATATACACACTCTCCAAGAGTGAAATCAGGCATCTTCCTTTTGCTTTCTGCCTGGGAATTATCTTCATCACCAATGGTACATTTCCAGGAAAACTTCCCTCTGGTGTAAAATGCCTATGGCTAAATAAATGCCACATCCTTCTCACCAAAATGATAACAGACTAAACATGACAGCCCTTCCTGTTGCTGTGTCAGCAGTCACACGGCCACCTCCTTGGTGCTCTGCTGGGTCCATCTCTACCACACATACCCCATTTCAGCAACACACCAGAACCCATATCAAGGGACTGTCTCACTGCAATGGCGACACAAATGCTTTCTGCCCTCAGGAAAATCTCCCCAAATCCTTTCTAGTTCCCAGCTATGAGGAGTGGGGCTGAGAAATATGGACCAGCACCCAGAAGGGAGCAGGGTGGTGGAGGAAGGAAAAGGACACCTGAAAATGCAGAGCCAACCCGCAAAGCAGCAGTGCCAACAGCACGGCCAGCAGGCTGGGACTGGGAGGTGCTGGGCAAGATACAAGTGGTGGTGAACAATGGGAAGAAACTTTTGTTTTTAACATAACATTGGGTTTTGATCCACAGAAGGGCTTTCTCTGAGCATGGCTGACCTCATCAGGGCTTTTCTAGTGATTCCTTCGAGGATTTCCAGAATGCTATTGCAGTTGTTTCCTAATCTTGAGTGCATTCAAACAAAGAGAATAGAGATTCCATGTTCTCCTACCCCAGTGACTCTCAAAATGCTGTTACAATGATGATCAGATTATAATTGGTGCAGAGAGACATGTGAACTGTACGGAGCCCAAACCCTGTTCTGTGCTGCAGAGGTTCTCCCTGAGCTGCTGTGCTCTCCCTGCCTGCCCCACACACCCACCCTCTGTGCAGCTCTGATGAAAAAGCTTAACGAGACTGCCAAGTAAATGACACACGAGCCACACTGCGTAGTGCAAAAGGCTGTCAGAAAAGCTACCAGCTCCTTTCCAGAAGTGGCAGCCAGCAACGAGCACTGCCAAAATTGCTGTAACCCTGCTGAAACAGCTTCAGCGCTGCTAAAACCTCTCCAAGAAGTGACTGAAGCTGAGACCAGCCTACAACTTTGCATGGGCTGTCACAGCAGGATCCATCCCTCCCACCACAGACAGCAGTGTCTGGCCAGGGACACGCTTGGCTGAGACAATCCACAAGCAGCTGTATTAATTACTGATGTGAGATAATAATAATAAAAAAACAACACCGCTGATCACAATTTCCTCTAGTGGTATAAAATGCACACAACCTTATCTCTGTGCTCCGCGTGTCCTGGGTACTTTGTCTTCCTCACAAATCTCAGATCCAGGACGCAGGCAGTTACATGAGAGTTTCTAACAGCGGCAGAAGAGCAAAGAAATGGGAAAAAATACAAAAGGTGGAACAAGTGAGTTACGATGCGTGCATGTAGCTGGAATCAGTTAGGGGGAGATCCCAGAAAGCAGTGCTGGAACTGGTGAAAATCACAGTGCTTGGTATGTCTGTGTGGGCTGCATGTGTAGATACAATGATGGGCAAACATACTTGGCAAAGCAGATTGACAAGGTTAAATATATTGCAAATAGGTTCTTGTTTCCTTTTATACAAGGACTCTTGGTATTATTATCATAAACAAGTACATCAGACATTTGTGAATCGTTGAATCATTAAGGTTGAAAAGACCAAAAAGATCATCAAGTCCAGCCATCAACCCATCACCACCATACCACTAAGCCACGTCACTCAATGCAACATCCACCCTTTTCTTGAACACCTCCACTGATTGTGACTCCACCACCTCCCTGTGCAGCTGTGCCATGCATCACCACATGGGGCAAGCATTACATGCAAAACACCACATCTCTACTTTGCCCCACTGCTGGCAGAAGGTTTTATATCCAGACATTACCAAGTCCCCATCACACACAGCTTCCTCAAACACAGGGACCTGAGGCTTGAGGGAAAACCCACACTGTGGGGAGCAGCCCATGGCCATGTTGTCCTGGGGAGCACTGCAGCCTGGTGTACCCCGTAATGCTCCCCTGTGGGCAGAGGGCAGCTTGCAGCACCCCACAGCAAGCTTCAGACCTCACAGTAGTCCTAAAGCTGTAACTGCTGTGTGAGAACATAGGTGATCTGTGAGATCTTAAAGAGACACCCAGTAGCAAAGGGGTCCTGGGCTGATGGAGCTTAGAGGTGAATGCTCTCCCTGAGCAATGCAGCTCTGAACACGTCTGTGTAAGGGATCCTGGATGAGTGCAAAAAAAACAGTGATTGCAGCCCCCGGAGTCTCACTTTCATGCAGAGCTGCCAAGAGCAAAGCAATACTGACTCTGAAAGTACAACTGAAGTTTCACGTTGCAAAAAAACAAAAACAACAATGAAAACCAGGAATAAAGGAGACCAGTGAAGTCTCAAATGAGACACTGAAAGAACTCAAATGCGTTGGCTAATTTTGAGTGGCTCTTTCACTGGTGGGCACAGACAGGAAGACTGAAAAAAAGCTGTTTGGAGTTCAGCCGGGAATGTGAACATCACATTTACATGTGTCCCAGCCTGTAAGAGTGGGATTTAGATGCAGAGGGATTTAAATGCAGCAAGAAGGGGCTATAAGAAAGAAAGGGACAGACTCTTTAGCAAGGTCTGTTGTGACAGGACAAGGGGAAATGGTTTGAAAGTAAAAAGGGGGGGATTAAAACTGAATATAAGGAAGACATTTTTTACACCACGGGCAGTGAGGCAATGGCACAGGTTGCCCAGAGAGGCGGTGGTGCCCCATCCCTGCAGACAGCCAAGGTCAGGGGATGGGCTGTGAGCACTGATGGAGCTGTGGGTGTCCCTGCTTAGGGCAGGAGATGAGATCAGGTGGGCTTTAGGGTCCCTTCCAATTGAAACCATTCTGTAATTCTATGATTACAAGAGATGCAAGTCCAGTTCGGTCAGATTTGAACCAGTAACAAAACAGAATCAAATTCAGACATCACTGACATAAGCTTTTATGTTGAAGATGAAAATGGATAATTTTTTCCTTGTTATTATTAGAATAATGATGACTACTACCACTGTAGTCATTTTCAAAGGCCCTATGCAGAACTTGAGCCCTGTGGCAGAGGATGCTGTCTGAATGGTTAAACAGACCTGGTCCATATCTCAGAGAGCTGCTACCTCTGTCTGATATTTGCTCTGCAGTTCCTTGCTGTGTTACCAATCCCACTGGCTGGGACTCCTGCCTATAGCTCTAAAAACATCTCACAAATGTGAAAAACCCTGAAACTCAATGCACCGGAAGATGAGAGGACACAACGATCTCTGTTTTACAAATGAGAAAAAGAAGAGGAAGAGGAGAAGCAAAACTCTGATCACAAACAGCCCTCTGAGCCAGGGCTGTGAACCTGACACCAGCACGTCGCTCTCAAACTGCTCTCCAGGCACCTCCTCTGATGACTCCAACAGCACTCAGATGCTTTCCAGCACTGGGGAGCTCTGGTTGCTCTAATGGCAGCCCTGGGGGCACTGATGTTTCTGATAAACCAGTACACCACTGTGATGTTTTAGCAAAGATTTGAACACCAAGAAGAACCTCCAGGTTGGAAATAACAGATCCAGGGGAAAGATGGCTTGGCCAGAAGCTTTCCCCATTGCATTCCCCTCTCTTCTGCCTGGTCAATAATCACCCAACAGGCACCCTGATGACAGAGGAATGCCTCATGAATTATCTTTACACCAGAGATTTTCTAGGAGAGAGTAACTAAGTACAAAGTTAGAGCAAACCTTCAGAGCAAAACTCCCTTATATTGGGCTGTTTCGGGTGAGGATTTAGGGCTCAGACAGCCCTCGTAAGAGTCTCTAGTGTGAAATCTATTTTCACTGCAAACTCAAGTCTCCCCACAAAGATTTGCTCCAAACCCAAGTACTCACGAGGTGTAAAGGCCTGGATTTCAGAGAGGCTCAACACCCTTCCCAGATGCCACCACTGTCACGTGGGCACTCTCCCAGATCAGATTCATGCTACAAGAAGCCAAGAACTTGGACATGAGATGCACCGAGAGCACCCAGACTGGAAAGTGTAAAAGGCGCACAGGTACCAGAGAGAGTCAGAGGAAGAAATGGCTCAGTTTCCAATGCACAATGGGCACAGTGGGCACGTCCCACAGCCACATCCAGCAGCAACCGTCCTGGGAGAGGTGGCAGCTCCTCATGTCCCATACAGAAAGCAGTTCACTGCGATTCACGGGGCTAAATCAGGGAACCAGGAGGAAGAGCAATCCTGTGGCATGCAGGCAGCCAACCTGATACTCAGCTGCTAGCAAAATAATCCCCAGCTTAGCTTCAGCATTCCACAACTCCAGCCCCTTCCTTGCACTGCAGTTTTTGAGGTGTTTGGTTGATCTTGCTCAATCTTCACCTTCCTTGAGGACTGCTGGAGAAAGGCAAGGAGCCTTAAACCACCTGGACAACATTTGTTCTTGCCAGCCTGACATGTCTCAGGCGCTGTTGTGCGTGATACCACCGCGTGGATTCATTTGTGAATACACAGTCCAACCCAAATAAACTTTGGCTTCGTTTTGGAATTGATCTCTGAACAGAGGAGCTCGGCTGTTTCTGTGGGCAGCCGACCCTCCTGCAGGATTTTAACCCTCCCCAGCCCAGCTGCTCTGCACAGGCACACCGGCTTTGCTCATGCAGGGTCAGATGCTTGTGTCCTTCTGTGCAAGGTGAGGAGGAGCGGAGCAGCTCCTCGTGTCCCCAGCCTTGCAACAAACAGCACCGACACCTCGCATCCCCCATGTGGGGGGAGAAATCTCAGCAAGCCCCAGCTATCCAAATGCTGCTGCTTTAAAAAGGCCCTGCTGGCTGCAGTCAAAGCCACGCTATGCCTAACGTCACCAAGTAACAGAAATAGCAGGCGTGAGTGAAGGGAGGAGAATGAGAGTATTAAGAGCGCACAGATTTCAAACATACTTGGAGAGGCAGCACGCTCCCTTCCTGCCACTGCCTTTCCAGATGCGACAGAGCACGGGGATCTGTTGCTGTCTTCCCATGAAGAAGGATTCTCTCTCTTCTTTCTATTTTATTTTTTTTAATGTTCTTTTTAAGTTTCAGCTTTAAGACTACTAGATACGCTTTTGCTTTGTTTCTTGTAGGAAATTTCATCTGCCGGATTTAAAAGCAAGGTTTGAGCAGGAGGAATTCCTTTATCTGTGTAGCTACTGGAACGTGCATGGTGCCTCTGTGTGCTGATAACATAGAAGAAAATGCAGGAATGGCTGAGAAAATTGCTTAGACCGTAAGGTGCTTTGAATGGCTGCTTGGGATAATGAGCTCTTTATTGTGTGTGTCTGCATGTGTGCAAGTGTATGCATGCACGTACGAGTGCAGCAATGGCAGTGACTTTAAAGCGATGCAAGGTTTCCCCAATTTGCTTAATTTTCCTCCTGTAGGAGTGAGGATTTGCCTAGCTGTGGGCTCTGCCTGCAGCCAGCTGGAGTGTCTGAACTGAATTAGTGCTGTAGTGATTTTATGAATGAAGTGAAATGCAGGCTCAGAGGATGAGCAGAGCGAGCAGGCACGGTGCGGGAGCTCTCCCCAGCAGGAGCTGGCACATCAGAGACCTATGCAGAAGAGCACAAACCTGCTACAAGTGCCCAGAACACAAAGTAAGGCAGCTGCAAGAGGCCAGTGCTTAGGTCATGGAAACGTGCACCTGAAAACAAGCTAAAATGAATCCAACCGCATCCAAGAGCTGCGGGTGACTGGTGTTGGGTTCAGCTGGAGCATCCCATGCAGAGCCCTTCACTTCCAACCAAGCATGCTGGTGACCGTGTGGCAGAGCTCCCTAGCATCTGTGCCTCCTTCTTTTGCTGCCAGCACAGATTGTGCATGAGCACTGATGAAGCAGACAATGAGGGGGCAGCTGGTGCATGGACTGGCTGGCTGCATACACCTGAAGCCAAGCAGGAGGGAATGGCACAGCAGTGTGAAGGACTGGGGTTTGCTGGGTCTCAGAAGGCTGGGATGTTGGTGAAACTGACAGAGACTACCTCAGAAAAGCAGCTTTCCAGAGGATAACTGAGCACTGCCTGACCGTGCTTCTTCTCTTCCCTTCCTCTTATCTGCACCCAAGGCATGTGAACAGGAGACAGGCTCTACGTACTGCTGTTTTTCCTTTTTTGCACCCCTCTCCCAACTGTTAAGCAAGAAGAAATCTCTCTGTGCTGGACCGTCCTCTTTTCTGTAGACTTATTTCATGACATCTCCACAGTAGCCATTGACTAGTAATGGGATGAGGAGAAAATCATATAAGACACGAAGAGGATGAACACTGCCCATCCTCAAGTGTTACTGTGGTCACTGGTGGGGGATGTCTATGAACCATGGGCAGCTGCAGGAGGGCCCATGCCTCCAAGGAGCAAGCAGGATGAAGAGCAAAGGAGTTGGAGTGGATGTGGAGGCAAAGGGACACCAAACTCACTTGGAACAGCTGGAGAAGTTTGCAAATTCCCCTGATAAAACAACCCCAGCCTGCCCCAGGGAGCAGGCAGAGGGATGGCTTTGCCTGCAGAGCCCTGCAAGGACAAGGCAGTCCAACAGCTCCTCTGTCCATTTGTTTGGAAAAAAAAAATGCAAATCTGATCTGTGTAAAATTCGTAGCACAAATGTTTCTGTGTGCAGTGACCTTTAGGTCGATGCAGACTTCTCATATGCCGTAAAATCCTGCCATTTCAGGTAATTCCGGTGCTTTTCTCAAGCAGCTTTGATCTCCCTTTGCCTACGCCCAGAGCCAATACAAACTCAAAGCAGCACAGTCAAGATTTGAACAGTACTGGGCTTAAGCTAGCCAAATGCTCCCACATGCAAAGAGTGTCTGCCTTCCGGCAGCAGTCTCTCACTGCACTGCATGGGGCTGTTCAGGCCCATCCACAAACTGGACTGTCCAAAACAGGGCACTATGCATGGGCACACAGACATCTGTGGGCTCATACTTACAGAGCATGTGAAAAGAACTGTAGTTACACACGTAAAACAGTGCAACCCACAACTTGCACTGCAGATGGAAAATGCTTTTCTTCTCCATCACTTAACAATTTGAAACTGCAGGTCACAACAGAGCAGAAGCTCCTCATTCAAGAAAAGCTGTTCTGTGAAAGCACTGCAGAAATACTAGACTTTGAGTTCACTGTATGAAATAGACAACAATCTAGCTGCAAATGGTAAATACAAAGTTTGCCTTCCCTTTTTTGGAGCTTGGACTCCTTCGTGCTCAGAGCTTAGCAAAGAGCTTATCAGCAATTGTGTTGATGAGTGATAAGTTGTCACTATGAACGCAGGGATGGTTTTTTCCCCAGCCCCAAACCAACTTTAAGGATTGCAACAAATGGTTTCCAAAGGTCCACACAATCTCTTTTTCTCCTTTCCAAGCACACTGCAAAATGGCATTCCTCAAAGCTGTGTTCTTGTAACAATGGCATGGGCCTTGCAGGAGTGGCCTCAGTGCAGAAAACTTTTAGTACATGCAGACAGTAAAGGCTCAGTGACAGGTAACTTCTGAATGACAGCCTGTGTTGCTCTGGCAGATTTCTAATTTGCTGATTTCTGATGTCTTTCTTCTAGTGGAGAATGCAGACCTTCCTTACAGGAGACCTCGCTAAAAAATGGTTCGCCATCTTCCTTCGGTCGCATTTCTAAAGACAGAAAGAAGAGCTTCTCAAAAACCCGTGGCATGAACAGACCCTCAGGCATCACAAGGCCAGGAGGATGTCCCTGACTGACGAGCTGGAGAGCCACTTCTCTGCAACCCCCTACATGGTGACAGACACGAATGAGAGCAGCCTATTCCGAATCAGACCCAATGCCTCTGTCAATGCCACTGGGGAAGGTGCACCAGCTGCTGGTTCCATGGAGGACATGATTGCCATCTGCACCATTGGGACGATCCTGTCCCTGATGTGCGTGATTGGGGTGACAGGCAATGTCTACACCTTGCTGGTGATGTGCCATTACTTGAGGTCGTCTGCCTCCATGTACATTTACATCATTAACCTCGCGCTGGCAGACCTGCTCTACCTTCTCACCATCCCTTTTATTGTTGGGACTTACTTCATCCAGAAGTGGTACTTTGGGGACGTTGGCTGTCGCATCCTGTTCAGCCTGGACTTTCTCACTATGCACGCCAGCATCTTCACTCTCACAGTCATGAGCACGGAACGCTACTTTGCTGTGCTGAAGCCCCTGGACACAGTGAAGAGGTCCAAGAGCTACCGAAAGGCCATCGCTGTTGTCATCTGGCTGGTGTCACTGCTGCTCACCCTCCCGATGCTCATCATGATCCAGCTGGTGCAAAGGGACAACAAAAGCATCTGCCTTCCCACCTGGAGCAAGCTGTCCTACAAAGTCTATCTCACCATCCTTTTTGGTACCAGCATCGTGGGCCCAGGGGTGATCATCGGTTACCTCTACATCCGATTAGCAAAGATTTACTGGGTGTCACAAACAGCATCCTTCAAGCAGACCAAGCGGCTGCCGAATCAAAAGGTGCTCTATTTGATCTTCACCATAGTGCTGGTGTTCTGGGCTTGCTTCTTGCCTTTCTGGATATGGCAGCTCCTCTTCCAGTATTATGAATCCTTCACGTTATCCCCCAAGGTGATGAAGAACATTAATTATCTGACAACCTGCCTGACCTACAGCAACAGCTGTATCAACCCCTTCCTCTACACCCTGCTCACCAAAAACTACCGGGAGTACCTGAAGAACAGACAGCGAACCCTCAGCAGCAGCAGTGGGTACTTCCAAAGGAGGAATCGATTTCAGAGGATTTCAGGAAGATCCATGTCCACAAGCAGTCAGCACTGCACAGAGACGTACGTACTTGCTCACGCTCCTTTGGGAAACAGCAGTGCCTGAAGGTAAAAAGCATCTCCACGAACGATCGATATTGATTTCAATGTTGCTGTGATTTAAAGTGTGCGTTGTAAAGGCAGTCTCAGCAGCTCCATGATGTGCACACATTTAGTTCAGAGGCTGTGCCATATTCTGTTTTCATTTCCTCCAGTGCCTGCTGCTGATTTGATGCTAGCAACACTCAGCTGAATATCTCTAAACGGTCTTTCGCTTTCCATCTTTATATTTTATAGTGTGTGTCTCCTCAAGTAGCCATCAGTAATGAAAACCTGTTATAGGGCCGAGTTTTTTAATAGTATCAGCTGTCTCACAGAGTTTAGAATTATGTTATCTCGTGAATGGCTGTCATTTGTTCTTTTTAAAGCAGTGATGCTAGATTGGTACTTGTATGAGAGCTGAAAGTGATGAAATAAAGACAAAGCAGCTGACACTTGTGACATGCAATCCAGTTTGAATCGGCATGGAACTGGACAGTTTGGATGAGGAATGTCCAGGGCTGTTTGTCCTGGTTTTGGTCACATTCATGTTTATTTTGCTCTCTCACACATGCACTGGGCTCACTCCTCCACTCACGGCTGTAGCACAGCAGCAGCACATTGTTAGCAAGACAAGCTTCCCATGACAGTGAAAGTCAGGGGACACTCAGCATCCCTAACACACTGACCCCAAACACAAGCACCCATGGAAGGAGCATCATCCACCCCAGACAAAGTCTTTCTTTCCCAGTATATCTGCCTTTTTCTCCTCCCCAAGGATCAGGAGCCTCAGCTTTTGTTCTTCTCAGGGCACCCACTAACAAACTTCAATACTGAGGGACCAGAGCTCTGTCACTGGGTCTGAAGAGGAAGGACAGAGGGAGAGGTGGGGGATGTGATCTGTAGTGGGCAGAGCTGTGCTAACAGAAGTCTCTCATAACCTCGGTTATAAAAGTGCAAGTTCCCTATTGCCAAGATCACTTGCTCTGTTCACAGAAGATGGCTTTGATTTACTGCTATAAGATGTGAATGCAGCCCTGCCTACACCAAGAACACTTTAACTTTCAGTGGTGACAAAACATCATTAGTACAGATGTTCCCTCTGTGATGTTTGGTGCTGCCAGCACCCACACAGCACTACTCTCCCACATTAGTCATTACCTTATTAGCAAGGACAAAGCTATGCAATGCACAACTCTAACCAAACTATGGGATTAGATGCAGATTAATGCTCAGGAGCAAATTCAGAACCGCAGTGCCATCCTCCAGTGTGCAACAAACTGCTTTTTCTTATACAGGAACTGAATTTAGTCTTTAACTTAAGTTTAGGGAAAGCTCCCATGAGTTGAGTACTAGAAAGCAGAGTGCATCTTTTCTAAAATCAAAGAGTGAGAAACAGAGGATGTTTCAGCTCACTCAGCATTACACACCCATAATGGTGATGCAGAGCAGTTACCAAAAGCTGCAGGAACAGATCTGTCACCAGAGTCAATCAGCCAACCCTTTGCCCCCAGCAGGACTGCTCTGACTGACTTCTCCAAGCCCACCATAACCAAAGCATCCGAAAGGAAACATTTGAAACAAGTCTGCCATTGCTCCATATCTCAGCCAACACCCTAAAAGCAGCAGGAGCAGAGTCCCATTGGAGGTCCTGCTGTGCCCTGGGACACAGCCTCACCCCAGGACACCCATCCCATCCCCAGTGCTCATTCAAGCCCTGAGTTGTGCCCTCAGCTGGGGCTGGCTTGCCAAACCAGCACCACAAAAGAAAGAGAAAGGAAGACACCCACAAGTCAGGGAATGATTGCAGGTGATGTTCCCATTGACACTGGCTCCCCTTTGAAAGATGAGATGTTTCATTCAAGCCTTTCAATTTCCACCCCAGGCTGTTCTTTTCATTTTATTCTGTTCCTCCTTCAAACACTCACATCCATCACCACTCAGTGCAGGCAACAATAAGGAATAGCATTCCAAGTTTGCAGGTAAAGGCAATGCTCCGACAATTCACAAGCAGGCTCTGCATCCCCCGCTAATGTGATGCACCAGCATCACCCAGGCACCAAACAGTCTTGTCCCTAAAACCAAAAGATCTCTGAGTATAAGAGGTCGAACGCGTGCAATAAGTGAAGTCTGAAGGAGGAATTGCTTTCTCCATGAGGCAGATAAATTGCTTGGTTAATGACAGCCATAAAATAATTATTTCTCCTTGCAGAAGACTATTACCAATCGCAGCACCAAGAGCTGATCTTCACCTCATCTTTATATACCCATAGCAATTTGAAACGATGCGTGTGCACCCGCACCCTGCCTGCTCTCTGCTTCTTCACTGGGTGCAACCTGACATCCTGATGTCTCCCACCTCCAAACCCCAAGAGCACTACTCCGTGCCCACCAGCTGAACCGCAGCCACCAAAGGTCAAAATTCTTTTTCTTTTTTTTTTTTGGTCTGTTTAAGCTAGGATGCATTTAGAACCGCCTCGAGACTGCAGGAAAATCCAGCTGTGAGCAAACCATAGCATCGCACCCATAGGGCGGTGCCTGCAGTGCTGTGAAAGGTTGGTACCCAGTCTGGTGGCTGAAACAGGCAGGAGCTGCAGCTGGGCCCAGAGCAGCTCTCAGCTGGGCGCTGCCTTCGCCAGAAAGGGATGACGTGTGCATACTGAATTGTCTCCTTTCAGCCTTTAGGAGGCAAAGCAGCACAATTTCTCACTTCAGGTTGAGGTTTTCACTCCCCTGATTGCTTACGTTTAATGTTGAAACACCTCCTCTTTGTTTTGTCCAAACCACTGTATTCTTACACAAATCCCATGGGCAGCCATGCTCAGTGCCACTCGTCCATCCATCCAAACACGGTTTGCATCCCAGTGCTCCTAATTTGCACTCAACGGTACTGATTTAGGCGTATTAAAAATGTGGTGGAATCAAAATAATTGAGGCGAGAGCACAACAGCAGACAACAAATTGCTCTGCAATAATAGAGATGTATATCTGAAAGCAGGATCCAAAAGGAGAGACACAGCAAATTGGGAGAAGGAGAAATGAGCAGATTTGGTGCTGATTCCAGGCTTCCCAGTGCAGGAAAACTGAGAGGCAAACGTTGCAGAAAAAAATCAGACATGGTTGCATGGATGGGAAGCAGCAGATAAATCCATTGCTGATATTAAGAAAGAAACTCATATGAGGAAAGTGATATTTTTATGCCCACTGATAGACCCTTTCCTAACTTTTATTGCTCAGGAAGATGCTGGAGCTGGAATAGGCAGCAGTTATGTGTTCAGTAGCAATGCAAGAAGCAAACAACAACTGAGCTAAAAGACATCAAGAGCAAAAATTCTTTACTCCATCCCAGCTACTTCTCTCTTAAAACAGACATTTCCCTTCATTTATCACTCCTCATGGTACTGCAGCACATCAGGCTGTCACATGCTGTCACCAAAACGGCTTCACTTCCTGCAGCCTGTGCTTCAAGGAGCCCAAAATGCTGCAGGACAACACATCACCCAGTGGGTGACACTCACCAGCTGAATTCCCCATGCAGCTTTGCCCCCAGGATGCAGCAATTGGCTCATGCAGTGGATGCAATAACCATGTTAAGATTAAGCTAAGTGCTTGGCTTTATTCAACTTTCCCAGGAACAAATTCCCCATCACCATAAGCACTGTTAGAGATCAGGGAGCCCAGCAGTCAAAGAACTCAGAGAGATTTATATGCAAGCTGAAGGCTCGCTTCTAAATCCAGTCTTCCCAAATGTTTATCATCTGGAAAGCCATCTGTCTGCCAGTAGAGCTCACGCTTTTGCCACAGGAGAAAGTGCAAATATCACAAATTTGGTTTCAAGGAGCAAAACGCTCCAGCATTCAACATTTTAACTGTCATTAGATTTAATTACATGACAAGTAGCTGCCATAACTAGCTTAAAGCTGTCTATAAGGATGACAAAATAATGCTGTAACAGCAAATATATACAAAATCAGTGAAAGCAGCTGCTTCAATAATAGAGGTGCCCAAAGCAGAACAGTGTTCAAGGTGCAGCCTCACCAGTGCCCATACAGAGCCATGATCACCTCCTGCTCTGCTGGCTGCACTATTGCTGGTACAAGCCAGGTTCCGTTGGCCTTCTTGGCCACCTGGGCACACAGCAGGTTCATGGTCAGATAAGCATCAACCAACACTCCCAGATCCTTTTCCTCCATGCAGCTTTCCAACCACTCTGCCCCAAGACTGCAGCGATGCCTGCAGCTGTTGTGATCAAAATGCAGGACCCAGCATTTGGTCTTGTTGATGCTTACCCCATTGGCCTCAGCCCAGCTATCCAGCCTTCCTACTCTCGTGCAGATCAGCACTTCCTCCCAGCCTGCTGTCATCTTGCAGGAGAGTGGCAGCAGGCAGCTACGTGCTTTGGGAACCAAACCAGCCAAGGTTGCCTTTTGCAAGGAATTCTGATTGCTTTCAATTATTGACTCCACTGCACAAATCTGAGCACACGTGGGCAGCAGCAGCAGCATGGCTCCAGCTTTTCCTGTGTTTGCATTTATTTGAAATGCTAAGGGAAACACACGCAGCCAACCTCCTCCTGATTACTTGTTTAGTTTATGGTTTATTGCTCAAAAGAGAGTATAACACCATTAATTCATTAACCGCTAGCATTACACAAACAGAATTGCTGCACCCAAAATAGTGATGCGAGTCAGTGAGTCACTGGTACTGTGTGATATCTTTGGAGGGAAATTTGGATTTTGTTTCCAGAAGGAGGGATGGACACACCTCAGCACTGAGGACAACCAGGGCAGGGGCAAGGAGCTGCCCCAGCTGCCCACTGGGGAGAACTCTCTGGGGGTCACACTACAGACAATGCAAAATACATCATAAGATGGAATTTCCAAAGCGTTTCTGTCCTTGAAGCATCTGAAAATGCTACTCTTCCTCCTCTCAGCACCCTGTGCTGAACCTCCCTGTGCTCCCAGCCTTCTCCATGGCCAGTTTTCAGTACATCAGCTTTGACCATCTGGCTTTGCTGAGACATTGCTGCGTCCCCAGCTTTTTTTGACGGATCAAAAACAATAAAAAGCAGTTTCCCATTTAGCAATCCCTCATTAATCAGTGCTAGTTGGCAGGCTGATTACAATTTAGTTCAGCTAATTAAAGAAGAAAACATCTTTATAAGAAGCTAAGACTTGAATCACTGTCTGCTGTCTAAAAATTCTTCCTTCCTTTGAAACATATGTCTGAAAAAGAGCTGTCTGTGCCAGCCTGCGACAGAAAGCCCCTAATACTGCCACACTTCTGCACCATAGCAAGGAGGGAGCTTCCATTTACGCCATAAATGGATTGAGTTAGATATTAAGCAACCTCTAAGACAAAACAAAAGCATGAAGGCACCGCACTGCAGGATCAGCCACAGGATTTTGGACATTCAGTGTTCAGGCTGACTCCAGTGCTGTTGCTTTT